ATTTTAACTCTCTAGGTTGTTTCCCTACGGAGGACGAAGCATTTTTTTAAAAGTACCGTTTACATATTTTACAGACAGCAAAAAACCTACTTGACAGTCGAAATCGATTTCCGACCCACGAGAACAAGCCAATGGTCTTATTTTTGAACCACAGTATGGCCTCGGTCTAGTCTACCTAACGACATGACCAAGCTCCTTCTCTGTGTTGCTATACGATAGTTAGGATAAACAGGAGAAGCCCATATAGAGCCTGCACTTGAGATCAGTCGTTATATAGCCTAGCCCAACCGATTTGGCTGAAAGTTGGTTTCTGAAAAGTACTATGTAGAATCTAGTTGATTGAGGGTGTGGATGTGGACGTGAATGTAAGTGTGAGTGTGGGTGTAGGTTAGAGCCCGTCGAGTTGATTCCGAACCCGTACCCGGATCCAAAAGTTTTCTATAAACCAGGTTCGGGATCGGGTCCGGAACCAGGTCCAAAGAAATTTTTAATGCATGAACGAATATTTTTCGAAGTTTTAATTATCTTCAATTGTCTCCTGAAAAGTGATCTTTATTTATGAAAAAATAGCAGAAACAGCAATAAAAAACTTTTCCAGATTAAAATATCTGTGTTTGAGAAACATGATAAATGTATGAAACAAATGATATTTCATTTGACTTTGTACTATTATCTATGACGCTATCAATGTCATACGAAAAATAATCAAAATCATTAGCTTTTTTTCTTTGAATTGTTGTTGGTGAAAATAAACTATTTGTATATTCACTGATTTCACTTTCTTCATCATCTGACGTACATAACTTTCTTGTTAGTTGTTCTTGATGTTTCGTTGATACACCACCATTCGTTTGTTGTAAAGAGAATAGATTCTTTTGAAGAAATAAAAGCTTGTTTAGCTTTATAGCAGCTAAACTAGTTCTACGATCAGTGACCGTATTATTCGATGATGAGAAAAGCCTGTCGAGAGTCATATTTGACGCAGGAATAGCAAAAAGATCACATACCATTGATAATAATATTGGAAAGGATTCTGCATTTTCTTTCCAAAATAAAAGTACATCTTCGTTTTCATGAAGTTGTGCATCCGAAGTCATATAATTATCTAATTCATTTAATGGAGTTAAAACTGGTTTGGAAATAACTGATGGCTTATCAAAACAAAGACTTAATAAATCATTTGAATTAACAAATTTGGTCGCTTCAAATGATGTTATTGAAGTTTTAACTACTGGTTTTGAATCGGTGCTAACAGCTTCAACTAGTTGCGGTAGTACGCGTTTTAATAGTTCTTGCTTTACTAATGATATTGTTTTGGGTTTTTCATTTGGTGAAATTTGGAAATGTTTCAATGACGGATGGAGTAGTGCAGACATATAATGTTAATCTTCATCTTCATCATCATGTCCCATAGGCTTAGCGCCCGTTGGGGCTAACCATTTACGAGATCAGATTTTTCCACACCTGTCGGTCTTGCGCAAGATGAAACAGATCTTGTCCACTGCGTTGACACCATTCGGTTATATCATCCAGCCACTCTCTGCATGGACGTCCCCGTCTAGATTTTCCATCCATTTTAGAAAAAACAACGTGTTTAATTAATCTAGTGTCGTCCATTCTGCAGATGTGACCAAATAACCTTAGCTTTCTTCTTTTGATAGTATCTATTATCGTCTCTTCTTTTGA